TATATATGCTATTGTGATAGATATACAGTATATACTTGTATATATATATATATAATATGTCCGAAGTATAGTAAAAGAAATAGCTAGCAAAAAGGAGAAAAGAAAAAGAGAAGCTTATTTGAAATGACAACAAAAATATTAAGCTGCACAAAAGGAAAGAAAATAACCAAAAAGTGTGAATCAAGCAAATAAGACACAATAAAACTAAAGAAGAATGTTACTAATATTAACAATACTTGTAAAGTATGAAGAAATGTTAAAGAATGACGCAGTGTAATTTTAAAATTACTAGAAATTGTTACAGTTAATAAATTTATTCGTTCCAATCAGTTCCTGTTAAAATAAAAGTATAATTTTTTGTTAATCAAAATTAAAATATATGAAATGTTTTATCTCTTATTCAAATTTTGTATTTAAGTATCTAAAAATGCATCTATTATTCATTTGTTTTTGAAACAGTTCTAAAAACTTTGCGTATATAATTGTTTATACTTAGCAAATACTTGGATACAGGCTAATTATTCGAATTTTAATTTATTAATTTTTACTTTCCCGGCTGTTATATTTAACAGCCTGGAAAGTGTAACGTGATAGTGTAAAGTGATCGGTCAAAACATGACCCCCCCAAGAATTTTACATTTTTGAACTCAGGGGACCTTGAAACCTTGAGAAATGAAAAAACAGTTGGAGGTTGTTCTGTATGTATATGGATGTGTTAGCGTGTGTGTGTGTGTGTGTGTGTGTGTGTGTGCGAACGATTTTGTTCGTCCACTTAATAGCTACTGTTCTTTTGTAGAAAATTTCTGAAATTTTGCAGGGAGGTTTGTGTATTAGAGGGATTGATGCTATTAAATTTTGGTGGTTAAAATTCAAAAGGATAGAAGATAGAGGGGGGTTCACTCAGGAATCAGGAATGGGGTCGGACTTAATGAAGATTTTACTTGTTATTAGCATCTGTAATTTTTTTAGAAATAAAACTTATCTCTACATTCAAAATTAAGCCTTTTCCATTTTATAATAATTAATAATATAAAAAATTTTAAAAATAAAATTTCATAACAGATGGTGTCATACGGTTTTAAAGTTTGGAAAGTTACGCAACTCGTTACTGGCTTTTTTTAACAAGGTAATTTAAAAATACATGAAATGCATGCATTTCGATTAATACAATGATTAGCTTATAATTTCTTCCACATTTATTCTACGAATATATTTTACTCATTACAAACTTCACAATTATCTTCTTCGATTATAAGTTGTCTTTTTATATTTTGAAAATAGAATATTATGAGGATAAATACCTAAAAAAAACATGTTTTACAGTAAGAAACTATATTAAAACTACAGTAAGGTTTATTTAAAATTTTAATATTGCTACCTGCATATTTTATTTTTTTTCGAATTCGAAATTCTAGTCTTATTCAAATAAAACATCAACATTAATCAATAAATGTCAGAAGCCTATTTAAATATATTTCAAGAGATAAAATAAAGGTAGACTAAATTTTCACTATTTAATTCCTTGCATTTTTATCTCCGGCACAAATTTGCTCATTCGTACTAAATAAATAAAACATCACTGAAGACAATTGATAATTCAAAAGAATGTTATATGGGATTAGAATAAAAGATGAGAATGATCAATTTTTAAACTAGAAAACCACAAATATTTAAATGAAATTATTTTAATTCCAATAAAATTCATTTTAACAAAGAATAATTAAATGAAATATAGAAGTTTGTAAAGCATAAAGTCAAATTTTGTAATAATACGAAGCTTATTATTTATTCTTTTTAAATAGTTTCTGTTTTTATAAATATTACACAAAATATCAATTTTAGAGTTTTAATATCTCTGTAAACAAAGAAATAACTACAGGTACAACATCTGTTGAAATACCCGCAATACATTCTGCCATAGTGATGTATAACATGTTTGTATAAGACATGTTAGATTTTAACAACAAAATATTTCTACAATTTCTTACAAGCTGTATTATATCTTTTCAGTCTATTTTCTGCTCTTTCTCAAGAGATTTATCACAGCATAGATCATAAGCATCAATTGAAACCGTTTTACGCTTATCGAATAGCCTAAATCTCGTCTGTCATTCACTTTGTTATCTATGTTCTGGCTATTTTTTTTTAATACGAGAATATATTATTCTTTTAACAAGATATTCAACAAGGTTTATTAATATTTAGTTTAATAAAATTATATTTAAAAACTTCAAAAACAATTTTTTATATAGATTATCATACACATTTTTGTCTCTTAAAGATTTATAAAATTATACTAACAATATGTTAAAATCGGATTTTAAATCACTTATTTGTATTTATAACAAAAATTGAATGCAATTTTATTTATAAAATTTAATTAATATTTTGATGCCGTTTAACGGTAAAAGCTCTATTATTCAGATAACATCATTGGTATTTTAGAAAATGATCTTTGTCCCGACAATTTTTCATCAATTTTTCTAAAATCATTTCTTTTCGCAAAGCTTTAATGGAAAGAAATTCGATTATGTACGGATATTTTTAGAAATCAATTATACCTATAAATGAAAAGGTGATTTAACATTAATTTTCAAAGTTTGAAGTATAATTTTACTATTTATCGAATAAATAAATGGTGGCTGAAATTTCAAAAATAGGTGGAGTTGGGGAAATTTAAAATAAATCTTTAGCTTGGAGTTTTATGGATCCCTAAGGCACAGAAAAAATGAAGATTGAGATCCACAAAGCACTAAATCCTTGGATAAGATACGATGTCACTTTATCTAAAATGATACATTTCAACTTATTACGTTTAAGCGACATATTAGTTATCACTGACATAAGAAGCCGTATGAATGCAAAGAACAAAATTTCAGTTTTAAATTACTTTGAAATCAGATCTTTTAGTTTCAAAAATAAATTATAATTGTCATTTTTATTTGTGAAATTTAAGGAATTGTCACCATAAGATGTTTATGTAGATTACCTATAAATATTGACAGATATTCTAAATGAAGAGTGTAGCTTTTATATTACTGAACAAAAAAATACTGATAAACAACCATTGTATTTGCGATGTGATTTTAAAAATTGTAAAAATTATATAATATTTCAAATCGCTTCTTCAAAATTCCAGCTTGCTTTACACTAATATTAGCATATAATTTTGTTTCCTTAACAAAATTATATTCTTTATTAATGTTATTTAAATAATTTATTTTCATATAAAAATAAATACTTTATAACACATAATAAATACTTTATAACACAGAATTTAAAAATTTTATTTACACTTTTATTTTCTGTTTATATATTTACCAAAATTTAATATTTTGCTTTCATTTTTTAACAAAAAAAACTTTAAATGAAAAACTTGTAAAATGTAATATTTTATATAACAAATCACAATTTTGTTCGCCATGAATTTTTTTTATAACAAATTTACTTCTAATTTGTATGATTTATCTGAAAACAATAAGCATTAGCCTGCATTCTTATAAATTATAATAATTAACGAGTTGAGGAATTTCAATGATGCATGGAATTCAATTTTATTATTGAAGCAGTAGACCGTAAAATTTAATTTTATTCGTCGTTTTTTTATTATTTCAATAGAATATTTATCCACAATGATTTAAAAGTTGAAAATTCAATAATGATTTTATTTGTTTTTTCTTAGTTAATTGACACTATCTGGGGGAAAACAACAATTAACACGGCAAGAGAATTCTGTACTTAAGAAATTAAACTCTTCACATAACTGAAGAGAGAAACATTAATAAAATATGTACGTAAACGAATATGGTTGCTATTTTTAGAATACTATTAAGTTATAGCAAAATTTTCGCTCCAATAATTTCAATCAATAAAATTTTCGATTTGAAAGTTTTCTCCGACCTGCTTTCCAAATATTGTACATTTATTAAATTTTATCTATCCCAAGCAAAATCTTGAATAACGCAACTTAAAAATAGAAATCATTTTACTCAAAAGGAATTCAATTTTATATAAGAACAGAACAAAAATAAAACAAATATCATATTTCAAATTATTTGTATATTTTCGAAATTTTTAAAGTAGTTTAACTTTATATCAAAGATTATTGTTTATATGTATATACTATTGTGTCAAAGGGTTTATCCATTAAATTTATAAATAAATAATGATTAAAATGTACTGACTTTTATGAATTATGCTGTATTAAGAAATAGATGAATCATTATAAAAATGATGTTTCTATGAGTGGATTATTGTTAAAGGAAACAATAAAGTTGACAGTGAAGGATTATATATCATAATAAACTCTTTCATAAAATTCATTATTTTTAGAAAATTTATGATCTTTTACTTTCACTGAAAGAATAGCACTTCATTAGAAAAATAATTTGATTTATCATTTACAATTAAATTTGAGAATCTTTTACAAATTGCAACAGTAGACAGAAATAGAAAAATAATTCGTTCGAAAACAAAGAAGGTTATTAAGCGTATACGCTTATAATTATAATTAAGCACATGCTTAATAATAATAATAATAGTAATAAATAAATTTTATAATTTAGAATTATTCAACAAAGCGATAAATTCCTTTGCTTATTCAGTAATAAAAACATTAAAGATTGTTCTCGATGTTTCTTTAATACTATATTTTTATGCAAATTTCTGAAATCTGAGTGCCACTTTTATTAAGTATATCGTCTACAGCTTAAAATTTTGTTGAATTCAATTATTAAATTAACTTTTATTTGAAAATACTTTTAAAAAGAATAAATTACAATTTTTGCATAAAAAAGAAAAACTAAAAATTAATAAAATAAACAAAACAACTAAAATCTAACATTAATCAATATGAAATTTATAATTTTATAATATTAAATTCGATTTTTGTCTTTGTATTTTGTCTATATAATTAAGTATATAAAATTACTGTGTTTATTTTTTATATGCCTAAAATACTAAAATCACTACATTAAAATCACTGACAATTTAGCACTTACCTGTTCTATAACGTAAACTTTATATTCCAGTAACTGACGTTGTAAAATAGGGTGAAGAGTATATAGAAGAATGGCAAGATGAACAAGACGATCCCTGAAGGGGATGATAACAGCAACGCGATGCCTAGATGTGCAGTTTATTGGTGTTTTTAACTCTCCTTCTTTTAATGGAATGTTCAATTTAGTTATTTTTTGAATTTGAGAGAGTAGGCGAGGCCTCAAGTCAACTTTTATCCTACCTACTGTAACAGAAAATGAAATTAGCTAAATTCGAAAAGATAATTAGTTATTTTTTTCACAAAACAAAAATAATAAATGGAAAAATCATTCTTTTATAATAATTTATTTATATTAACGATGAATTTTTCAATTTTTAATGATCTTAGTAATTCCACGACTATTCGACTAAATGATTATTGTGGTTACAGTTACAAAATCGCTCATTAGTAGAAGTAATTTACAGAAATCAATTAAACTTAAAGCTAAAATTATCTGTTATAATGATCTAAATTTCGACTTAGCTTCTTTCTAAATGTGCGAGTAATTCAAGTATTCTTACAGACTATTATGTAGATATAGGATATTGATTATCAATATTTCGGAAATTGAGAAAAATGTCATTATATTCTAGGATAATCTATAAGAATTCAGATAACATTAAAGAAATGCTTTACTTACTTTTGTTCTATACAATCGACATATTAACTAATTAGTCATTTCTAATCGGATTTTAATTAATCGATTTGTTAATAATGAAAATTTTAACAGTTTTACATTGCACCGCAAGCAAGTTTCCGATTTAGGAAAGAATTTTACTGAAAAAATAAATACTTTATGGGATTAAGTATCAAATAAAAACATATTTTGCATATATTTATATATTTTAATATATCTTTTTTGTAAATGAAATAGTATACTTTTACAATGTAAATAATAATAATTCTGGCTTTGATTTACAGGATTATAAGGATATTCAAATGTTTGCGTAATTAAATATAAAAGAATTTATCCTCAATGATAGAATGTGGTATAATATGAAAGAAATTTATATATATATNATAGAAATATTCGCAGTCATAATAAGCGTAGTAACTCGCCCAAAGTCAAGCTTATAAGCTTATACGCTTTGTTGATATTTTATCTGTCATCTTTACAAACTCTAATTTCAATATCAGTCAACGTATATCAATAGCACATTCTACTTTTTTTTTCAGTGCCAAGTTTCAAATGAGATAATGGATAATTAATAAGTTTTATTTTAAATGATATATTAAAAATCGATATTTTTATCAATAAGAACGCACAAGAACTCAAAAAAATTCAGCAGTTTTAAACTAATCGTTTAAACTATTCGAAATAATTTATTTTATTATTATTGAAGCAGCTATTTACATGCTGAGTTTTTATAGCTGCGATACGATAAGAAATTTTTACACTCTGAACATCTTGACATATCGCTTTTGGCGAATAATGTAATTTCTCAAATTTCCTGAAATATCTACTTATCTCTTATGCTTTAGGTAAATTTTATATTTGAAAAAGTCTGTTCTTTATATATTGTAGCAACCTGTATTTGGTTTTACAAATCCTGAAACATCAGTAACCTTAATCTTGACTTTAAGTATGAATAATAAATTTTATAAAAGGCATTTCTTTATACATAATAATAAATTGATATTTTACGCTTAGTTCATAAGAAGATTTTCTAAGAATTATTAATGATAGTAAAATTTATTATGTGGAATTTTTGTGAAGATAAGATTTAATAATTTCAACATCTTTGCATGAAAATATATTAATCATTGAATAATGCTAATTTAAAAATAAAATTCTATGAAATAATCTACAATTTATACCTATCTGAATATTTATTTCATCCATTTTGTATAAATAATTTCAATATTGAAAAAACTTCATCTTCTAACATATTTACGATTTCTATGTATTAAAATCTGATAAAATATTCATTATGATAATTTAAAGTGAGAATAGGAATTAAATTTGAACATTAATATGAATTAAAACATAATTATATCGATTCTTTATTTTATTTTTGCTAACACGTTTAATATTTTTAGGTAAATTAATTAAAAGAAACTATCAAATAAAATATGAAGATACAAAAATGTTACAAAGAAAGGTAAATTCATTCAACAAATAAGCACAAATAAACAATCGAATCTGAAAAATTCTGAGCTGCATTCATTGGTATATCTATTATTGAACCAATGTATGCTTTCAGAGTAAGAGATTGACAAATTTCTTGGAATTGCAAATTTTTATTTAAGTAATACGCGAAGCACGTAGAAAAAATATATTAAATTCAACTCGATCTATAACAAATCTGCTAAAATAGATTTACAAGTTGATTGAAAATAAAAATTGTTAGCATATCATTTCACATAAAAATTGATCTTTCTTGGAGGAAATTCTGAAGTATATATAATCATTTAAAAAGTATAGAATTTTTATTAGTTTCTACATTATATGAGAACGATTTTGTTCGTCCACTTAATAGCTACTGTTCTTTTGTAGAAAATTTCTGAAATTTTGCAGGGAGGTTTGTGTATTAGGGGAAAAAAACAAATTCTTTTATTTGTAAATATGTACAGTATTATAGGAATCGCTGTCCGGAAGTGTGTACTTCAATATAATCTTTCATTTCATTTTAGTAATTGCATGGTTATTTTTTCATTATGCATTTCATTTTTCTTATTAAAATATATACGTTGTCCTTTCTTAGACTCTAATATCTTTTAACTCATTTTTTTGAAGAGAACATATTATTCTGTACTTTATGTAAATACAAAATTCTAACTATATAGGCCTATTTGTTTTTCCATCTTTTAGAAGATTTGAGGCTATATAAATCCTATCAATCGCGGTTGTTTTATGCCCGTCAGCGGCATATTCTTACCATAATTGAGGTGTTCTTCACTTTAAATATTTTTGTCATTGTAATGATTTGTATATTATGAATGCTGTGTGCTATTAACAAGATAATTGCAACAGGTTTTATTTTTAAATTTAATAAATAAAATGTCTGTATTTCTGCATTAAAACATGTATTTTAATGTGCAAACATCAGGACACTCTTTACATTTGAGTAAACAAGTATTTACATTTGATAACTTATAAATAATAGTTAGAAATTTCAACAAACAGCACTTTTATGTATATAGTTTCTAACAGTGCCGGCTCATTTTGGCACCGGCCCTTTAGGCATTTCTCAGAACTATCCTATGGCCACCCACTCCTGTATCCCTGTATATATAATATATATACAAAATAAATTAGATCATATCATAGTTTCATTCATATTACGTTTTCACACATTTTCTTTGCATTTTCCACCAGCCAGTGATTGCGGACATCATTTTCACTTACAAACGTAGTTTTATATTACATTTAATTTACGTTTGTTATACTACATTTTTAATTTATTATAACGTATAAAACTGCTGTAAAAATTATATTATTGTTATTATTATTATTGATATTTAAATAAGACAATTTAAATTTTGATATCCTACATACAAATAAACATGTAAAATTATATATTTTTATTTTAAATGATATATTAAAAATCGATATTTTTATCAATAAGAACGCACAAGAACTCAAAAAAATTCAGCAGTTTTAAACTAATCGTTTAAACTATTCGAAATAATTTATTTTATTATTATTGAAGCAGCTATTTACATGCTGAGTTTTTATAGCTGCGATACGATAAGAAATTTTTACACTCTGAACATCTTGACATATCGCTTTTGGCGAATAATGTAATTTCTCAAATTTCCTGAAATATCTACTTATCTCTTATGCTTTAGGTAAATTTTATATTTGAAAAAGTCTGTTCTTTATATATTGTAGCAACCTGTATTTGGTTTTACAAATCCTGAAACATCAGTAACCTTAATCTTGACTTTAAGTATGAATAATAAATTTTATAAAAGGCATTTCTTTATACATAATAATAAATTGATATTTTACGCTTAGTTCATAAGAAGATTTTCTAAGAATTATTAATGATAGTAAAATTTATTATGTGGAATTTTTGTGAAGATAAGATTTAATAATTTCAACATCTTTGCATGAAAATATATTAATCATTGAATAATGCTAATTTAAAAATAAAATTCTATGAAATAATCTACAATTTATACCTATCTGAATATTTATTTCATCCATTTTGTATAAATAATTTCAATATTGAAAAAACTTCATCTTCTAACATATTTACGATTTCTATGTATTAAAATCTGATAAAATATTCATTATGATAATTTAAAGTGAGAATAGGAATTAAATTTGAACATTAATATGAATTAAAACATAATTATATCGATTCTTTATTTTATTTTTGCTAACACGTTTAATATTTTTAGGTAAATTAATTAAAAGAAACTATCAAATAAAATATGAAGATACAAAAATGTTACAAAGAAAGGTAAATTCATTCAACAAATAAGCACAAATAAACAATCGAATCTGAAAAATTCTGAGCTGCATTCATTGGTATATCTATTATTGAACAAATGTATGCTTTCAGAGTAAGAGATTGACAAATTTCTTGGAATTGCAAATTTTTATTTAAGTAATACGCGAAGCACGTAGAAAAAATATATTAAATTCAACTCGATCTATAACAAATCTGCTAAAATAGATTTACAAGTTGATTGAAAATAAAAATTGTTAGCATATCATTTCACATAAAAATTGATCTTTCTTGGAGGAAATTCTGAAGTATATATAATCATTTAAAAAGTATAGAATTTTTATTAGTTTCTACATTATATGATAGATTATATTAATTATAATTATATATATTTTTTAAGTTTAAAGCAGCAGGAATTGTTGGCATAGTAAGTTATTGATGGCAATGCAATTTTTAATAAAATAGATAGTTTCTACTACGCATAAATTCTAAGTAATCATATGACTTACGGATAATAAGTTTTTCTAAAGAAAGCAATTTAATATTCAGTTAAATTAAAATTCTGAAGAAGAATAAGCAGCTTTCATACGAAAACTTTTTTTTAACTAAATAAGGTGCCGGCTTTTTACCTTTTGGAAAAAATCTTTTGTATTTGATAAAAAATTTCTTTTTCAGGAAAGAGAAAAGTTATTCAAATAAAAAAATTATATCTTAGTTTCAAGTTTAACTTTTCTTTTATTAGTTTTATTATAAAAAAATGAACTCCTTTCTGTGTTTACATTTTCATAATAATAATATTATTGC